GTCTTCTGTGTCTTGTCAATATAACTGACTATGACATGTCGGGGATAAAATCCGCAGAGCTTGTCTGTGCTTTTAGTTTCAGGTTTTCTTGTTGGCCTCAGAAATGTCGACATTTGCCAGCCGATCATCAAACACACAGGCTTTGGGTGGTCCCAGGTCTGTGATGATGGATTTCCTTTGCAGGTACATCAGGTGAAGCCAACACCAGACTTTGGTCCCACATGAAGCCACCTGAAATGTTGGCCAGACTTTTCCTTGCAAAAGGACAGACACACAACTTAAGTTCAGGTTTGACACAGTTGTCAGTTTAAGTTTTTCCAAGCATCTGGTAGTCTGTGATCTCACGGCTGGTTCCAGCCATCCACTGAGTAAAAAGTCACTTGGGTGCTGAAACTCTGCTTGCCCAAGATAGCTCTCACATCCACCTGCCATATTGCTTCAAACAGAAACTGAGCTAGTTTGTATCATTCCCTTAGGTTACAATGGGAGCTCTCCACTGAAATTAGTCTGTTGGGTGTATTGTTTGCAGAACTTTCTGGACTGTTAAGAATTAACTGAGGCTGAGAGGGTCAGGGATTCCAAAAGAGAAGAAAGACTATGCAAAGAACTGGCAGGGAAAGCCCAGAGAATCATCTCCACGACTCAGAAACTATTGTTTAACTACATTTTACGTGTGGTAATCACACCCGGTATTTTTAGAAGATTGTTCTAGGAAATGCTTCTGCTTGCCACCACTTTTTACTTCCTTGATTACGGCGTGGTGTTTTCTTTTTTCACATTTTGGTAGCACATTGATTAAGGCAACAAACTAGCTCTCATATTAGAAATTATTTTCACTTAGGTATCAATGAATTTGAAATAGGAGGTAATAGGTTAATAGGCTAATGAGTCAAGAAAAAGGCACACAAAATACATGAAATAGAAAACATATTTAAAAACTACACATATGAGATTTATTTTACATTTACCACCTCCTTGGTCGCTGAACCTCTTATCACATTTATCAGTTTCTGAGATCAAGTGGCAAATATCCACAAAAAAAATCAGTTATAATACAGGCATCTCTAAAGCCTAGATTTAAAAATACACGAAAATGGGACTCCATTGGTTTATATATAATAAAAAAAGTACAATAAATCTCTAATAGCAAGTTTTTAGTTTCCTGAACTATTGTTATATTATTGACATGTTACCAGTGGATATATTATCAAATATATTGATCTCAGATATTATGAATGATGGTGTTTTAATATTTTTAGCCAGAAGAAAATACATTAAAATTTATTTCACACGGTATAATACTTCTTGAGTTGGTCACTTAAATTCTTACTAAAATAATCAGCTTTATAAAAGTATCAAACTTCCAGAAGAGTAAGTATATGGACTTTTTAGTCTAGGTTAGAAAAAAGTATTTTAAGGTTTTAATAAAAGAAAAACCCCAAATTTGTTTATCATTCTCAGAAACTGAAACAGTTTTTTTAAAGTAAACTTATTTATTCAGCATTATACAGAAAAATGGCATCAGAGTGATGGGCAGAGACATGGAGGCCGTGCCTGGGAGGCGGGCTCAGCCACGTGCCTGTGTCCTCACTGTCACCTCGCCTGCCAGCACCCGCTCCTCCCCTCCTCCCGCCACAAGAACCACGTCAGTGTTTACAATAGTGTCTCTAAATATATGACACCGATGCTATAAAAATAAGTAAGTGTCTGAAAAACAACCACAGGCTTGAACGGGAACATAGGGTACTTGGGGTTTCAAGGCTCTTCCTGCGGAAGGAGCTTCCACTTCACGGAGGAGTGACGTTCCTCGTTTAAGTCATGCAGCTCCTGCTCCTTGGAGAGCTCCAGGAAAACCTGAAAGGGGGCCAGAAATAAAGAGACAAAGGTGGCACACTGCCCCCTGTGGCTCCACGTGAGGGCAGCGCATGTGCACGTGTTACACACACATTCCACGGAGGCCGTAAAATCCCTAAAGCGGACGCACCTGCTCCAGGGTGGACTGCGAGAGGCTGTACTCCTCCAGGTCGAAGCTCTGCTTCACTGCAGAAGGATGGCCGTGCATTAGCGACTCATATATCTTTATATCCAGGTGGTCTTACCAGTCAGCATACAATATAAATACATTAAAAAAACTTAAACGAAAAGGTTAAGATAATTATCATTTATGGTTTAAGCACAGCTCTCAGTTAAAAATACACGGGGGGTGGTGAGGAGGGTGTAGCTCAGTGGTAGAGCACATGCTTAGCATGCACAAGGTCCTGGGTTCAATCTCCAGTACCTCCGTTTAAAAAAATGCTGTATTTCTAAAAAAAAAAAACAGCTATGCACTTACCTAGATGGGGGGGGGCGCTGTCATGCCAGTATGTTGCACAGTTATTGAGATGTACATTTAAGGGAGAAATGTTGCCAAGAAGGCTCCCTTCCCCGCACATGAGCCAGGAAGGAGCCAAGAGGTGGAAGGAAGACACATTTTGAAAAGGGTCGTATCAGACACTTACAGAGGATGTTTGTGGTTTCCTAGGGAAACCAATGCCCTTACAGGCCTCATGTCAGAAAGCATGGCAGCTTGCCCCAGATTGGATTCTAAACACTTCTCATTGACCAAAATAGACTGAGAAGGGTCATCAGAGCCCGGAGAGGTGCCCAGCTGACTGGAAACACATCACCGACTGGACCAGGCCAGTACTGGCCATGGTGCCAATCACAGGAGAGCTGAGCGACCACATGGCCCAGAATGCTGGGGTGCTCAGCTCCGAGACTGGAAAGAGGAGGCCTCGCGGACCACGGATGCTGTGCACAGGAGTAAGAGGAGTCTTCTGGAACCAGGAGATTCAAATCTCTTCCTCAGGGAGAGGACAAGCAAGCAGAGGTGATCTCTGCGCAGTGACAATGAAAAGAGCAGAGGGAGGGATTCAGGCTAGCACGGTTCAGAGCAGCAGAGCTAACGGACTCGGATGGTGAGGGAAGCATGACCCTGGTGGCGACAGGTGCAGTGTGGTCAGCTTTAAAGTGCGACAG